CCCCTCAGTAAATATCAATCCTAAATATCCAAAACATAAAATTATGGTGAAATGCAGGGGGGCATGCCCCCCTGGAACCCCCCAGATTCTTTTTAGGTCAGGGGGCTGAGGGGGGGATGCCCCCCTGAAACTCCCCATGTTGTTAAAAACAAGTAAAAAATTACTAAACCTTTGGTCTTACTGTAATATAGTTCTATGTACAAACATGATCAATAACTTTTATTAAACTATTGATTTGCAGCAAAAATGAAGGTCATATTAGCTTGTAAACTACTACTAGAAAAAAGTAGATACACCTATATATAAAATGTGTACATGAGACGGGTGCATGAGTGAAAAAAAACAAACCATGAAGCTGCAGCAAGCACCTAGCACATCTCTGCGATTGGCCCAAATATAGATGACGTATTCCCGCCCTCTATTTTTGTCGTCTTCCAGGGTTTTTCTCGCCAGTTGACTAGATCCTACCATGGCGGGCCCGCTTTGCCTCTTTGCTACGTCACTAGGTTTCATCGCCAACTGCTTGGACTGCGCGCGTGTGTGTTTGTGCACGCGCGCTTGTGTGTAAGTGTGCATGTGTACTGTGTGTGTGTATGTGTGTGCGCGCGTGTGCGCCTGTGTGTGTGTGTGTGTGTGTGTGTGTGGGGACGCACTTGTGTGTGTGTGTGTGTGTATAACTTTGAGGAGAAGGTTAATTTATGGAACGAGAATTGATGAGATTGTTAAAAGATAACACACAAAAATACAAACAAAAAAACCCCCTAACACGGTGAGATCTAGTGAACAGTAAAGTTACTACATTTAGCGAGGGAAATCCAAGCGTCTTGGGGGAAACCCCGGAAGATGACAAAAATAGATTGCGGAAATATGTCTCCTATATTTGGGCCAATCACAGAGATGTGCTTGGTGCTCGCTGCGGCTTCATGTAAAAAAAATCCCCATAACCCTACCTAACCCTGCCCCTATCCTTACCCCAAACATTGACCACATAGCCTTAACCCTAACCCTAACCCTCTTTATCAGAGTGAATAGTGTTCGCTTGTTACGGAATTCCTCCCTCATGTCTGACTAACTAGATCTACTCTAAGCTGAACCAAAAAAAATGATCTAAAATTGTGTTGTTGGGGCGTAAAACACCTAGATCTAGGCTTACTCATACATGTTGAATTTTCTTGTGTAAAAACTGAACAATGTATTATATTAGTTGTTGACTAAATGTTGTAAGGGGACTATCTTTACTGGCGGTAACCGGTCATTTCGTCACACTCATCTCATCACACCCCAATTATGTGTGACGAAATGACTTCACTTATCTCTTCATAATTGTTATATTCATGCTAGAAGAGTTTTGGAGGATCAGCACCAGCAGTCTTTATTCTAAATCCACCAATTCAAGCATGTAATCGTTGGGACAATGGCCCTATTGTTTTTAGATAATTTAAACCTAAATCTATTTTAAAAGTTAAATTATTAATGTTAATAAATCTTGGTCTACTAAACTGTTCCATAGTTGAACAATAGTTTAAATATATGGCAAAAACAATGTCTGGTTTGATGTTTGCAAGTGTGTGACAAAATGACCATCTCCATTCAACCTTGTTAAACGTAAAATAAATTACAAACCATATGGCCAACGCTCTTTTTCATATTTTGCCCCACTTGTTTGGAATAGGCTTCCAAAAACTATCAGAGAAGCAGAAAATCTAGAAATTTTTTAAAAGAAACTAAAAGTATTTCTATTTTCATCATATTTCGATTAGACAGAATCCATCCAAGCTGTAGATTGTCGTGAGTTTGTATGTGCGTATGTACGTATGTGTGTGTATGTATGTGTGTGTGTGTATGTGGGTGTGTGCACGCGTGAATATGTGTGTGCACGCGTATGTAATACTGTGTGCCTTACTTTAAAATTGATTTATAAATCTGTACATGTAATATGTTAAGCGCATAGAGCATTGCATAAGTGGATATGTGCTATATATATAAATGCAATCCATTATTATTATTATTATTATTATTATTATTTGTGGATTTGGGGTGTGACTAGATGACCGTGACATTTTGACTGCACCGGTGTAACGAAATGACTGGTATTCTTACTGGTAGTGGTTGTGATGGTGGGTGTCTTTTGAAACTGTAAAAATCGTTGTCACACAAAACTTGAGCACTGCACCAGTGCCTCAGTATGGGCATGCTATCTGGAGGAATAGGGAAATCGAGATCCGGTTATTTGCTACACGTGCCTTTCAGAAGTCTTAAAGTAGGCCTACTGGGTTATGATAAGGGTAAAGAAGATAGAAAATGGAACAGCCGTCCCTTGCTTTCTACTTTCTGTTTCTCTTTTGCTATCTGTGACTCAAATCCCCCCTTTCTCTCTTTCTCTCTCTCACATACACACACACACACACACACTCGCACACACTCACACACACACACACACACACACACACACA